ATCATTTTTAACTTCAGGAATGTAAAGATTGGTGGACTTCAATTCCCAGAATTCCCCAGCCAGAATAGCTGTGCTGACTAGGGAATTCTGGGAATTGAAGTCCACCCATCTTAACACTCTCCTAAGGCTGCTTTTGGGCTAAAATCAAGTCAGTAATAGCAGCAACTGGGAACCCTTGGGGGTGAACGGAGGCTGGGGGGGGGGGGGGGGCACACGGGTGTGTAGTTCAAGCGGGAAGAGGAATTTCCACTTACCGGAGGAGGGTTCCATGTGGGCCCCATTTACTTTCAGAGGAGTCAGGACCACGCGTGGAAGCATCACGCCCGCCTTTTTCTTCTGTTTGCTCACCTGTTTGGCAGGAAATCAAGAGAGCGTTGCCAGGGGAATGGAGAGGAAGCCCGAAGGTTCAGGATTTGCCTTCCTCAGCAGAAAGGATCAGAGGCCCTGGCACCCTGCATTGCAGGACAGCTCAGCCTAGTGGTCATAACCTCAGAAGTGAAACGAAGCCAGCTCTTCCAAAGACCTGTACGGGTTCTCCTCTTTGATCCTGCCAATGGAGCAGGTGTGTGGTACTGCTCTACACAGCCTCAATACAGGTAGTCCGAGAAGCTTCTTCGGCTCGGATAGGATAGAGCTGAAGAAGCTTCTTGGATGAGAAGTGAAACATCTTCCCCCCAAAAACCCCAGGAAAGTCCAGTTGCCTCCTGAAAAAAGCACCTTTGGGGCAACCACGATTTGGAGGACAGAGAATCTCTACAGAAATTGTTTACACGGACTAAGAGCTGTCACCCACACATGGTAAAAACTCATTGGCTGCCACCTCAAAAAGCTGTAACTAAATTAAAAAGGGGTTGAGTTACAGGATGCTAATTTTCAGCTGAATATTAGGATAACAATTTTTAACAGTAATTGGGGACTGTCAAAGGAACTGCTTAAGAGTAAGAGGTAAAAGTAGAAGAAAAAGAGAACCCTGCCGGATTTTTACTGCACTAGCCGTCGCCAACCTTAGGGGGCGCTGCTCATCTCTGTTTCAAGGCTGTTGAGCCGGCACTGTCCAAAGACATTTCCCCAGTCATGGGGTCAGCATGGAGTCATGGAGCCCTGTTACCTTCCCACTGAAGTGGTACCTAGTTATCTACTCGCATTTGCTTGCTTTCGAACTGCTAGGCCGGCAGGAGTTGGAGCAAGTAGCGGAAGTTCACCCTGTCGCGTGGCGCCTGGGTCTCGAACCTGGGCTGCCGGCTCTCCAGCTGATAAGCCCTGGGTCCTAATGACTGAGCCACTGCGTCGCCCAGACGGGGAGAAAAAATTTCTGTATTGAGGCCTTCGGGCAGGACAACCACCTGTGAATGTTCACTGCGCTTAATTTCCTGCACCATGCAGGGGGTTAGAACAGGGGTCTCTAACTTGGCAACATTAAGACCTCTGGACTTCAACTCCCAGCATTCCCCAGCCCCATCCATCCCCGTCTCAGACCCCTGGGTTAGTAAGAGGCCTCTGAAGACTCTCTTCCTTTTAACATATATCCTGTTGCTTTGCTCCCGTTTCTATTTACAGTCAGTCACCGGAAATTCAATTAACGCTGAAATACAGGGTATAATTCTCGTAAAAAGCATGCCAACTCTCCTCCAGATAATCTGGGGGTGCTTTTGCTCCAATTATTCTATCTAGGTCAACAAAAGGTTCTTAGATGACTCATCCAGGCCTGTCTGTGGGGGAGCTTTTAACAAAAACCTGGACAAGCTTTGGCCAAACTCCTCCGTAGCAGTCAGAGGCGGTCTCCGAGCCCAGGTCTGTGCAGATGCTTCTGTTCAATTCTAAGTCCAGCCTCTGCCCCACAGATTACAACTTTTACAGCCGAGACCATTTCTGCAGCTTCCGCTCCCTTTTTCTAATTCATGGGGCTCTTGGAAGTCTTCCCGCATTTAATTCTGTCTAAAATGGGTCACCCTCTAGCCGTGGGGGGCTCTGCAGCTGTTTATAAACAGAGAGGAAGCTGGCCACTGGCTCCTTAGCAGGCTTAACCAGAAGCGATGCTGCGGGGAGGAGGAGGAGGAGGAAGAGGAGGGAAGTTCAGGTGGAATAAAGGTAGCTTCCTGTTTGCAGCGCCAGGGTTGTGCTCACCCACCAACCGTGGAGCTCCTCTCCGGCCGTCCTACCTGGGACGCTGTCCTGGTGCTCTCTCGGAGGGCAAGCGAGCTCTTGCTCTGGGACTCCGTGGAACAGGAAGCATTGGAAGAGGTTTCATCGAGAGAAACTAGAAAGGAAGGATCCCAGCGTCAGAATGCAGCCCTCTGCCTGGGCGGTTCGGGGGCTCCTAGGGTGACCCGCATAATGCCGTTGTCAACCCTGAAGCTGAGGGACAGGGAGGGGGGAGGAATAGAGACAGTTGGGACTTTGTAGCCAAAACAAAGTGTTTTCTCTTGGGAACCAAGGGCATTCGGAGGGGTGGAGTCACCGGGCAACCAGAGTGAGCCGTGATTGGACCACGGGACTGATTGTTTGGAGAAAGTGGGAAAACTTTAATTTTCAATTCGGTGAAAACCGCGGGGAACGAACCTCCAGAGTCAGTTTTCACCAGATCTGTGCGCCAATGTGATATATCCAATAAAGCTACTCGTTGAGGACTCTACCTGTCTCAGAGCTTTTGCTTGCTACGGGTCTATAACTTGGAACCCTGACACAACTGTTTTCGTGAGCTCCACCGATGGCCCGTTTGCTTCAGGGTCCAATCCGAAGTGCTGGTTATCACTTTTAAAACGTCCTGGGCCCAGGCTATCTGAGGAGCCGCCTCGCCCTGATGGGAATGGCCTGTCCCATCCGTGATGGTGGGGGAGGGCCTGTCCGTCACGGAGAAGGGCCTTTTCTGCTGTGGCTCCACCCCCTCCCCCGAGGTGAGATCCCCCCCTTCCGAAAGAGCCGGGGGAGCTGGCTCTGCCAACTGGCCTGGACCCCCAATGGGACAGCATCATTCTAAAGGCAGTTAATGAACTAAGACCCCTTCCTTCCTTCTTGCTCCCTTCCTCCCCATCTCTGTCCATTTTCCATTAATTTAATGATGTAGTTAAGAGTGCAGTACTGCAGGCTGACTCTGCCCACCGCCTGGAGTTCGATCCTGACCGGGATCGAGGTTGACTCAGCCTTCCGAGGACCCAGATTGTTGGGGGCGAGATGCAAATAACACATCTACGTTGTAAATTGCCCAGAGAGGGCTATAAATAGCCATAGCAATAGCACTTAGACTTATATCCTGCTTCCTAGTGCTTTCCAGCCCTCTCTAAGCGGTTTACAGAGTCAGCCTTTTGCCCCTAACAATCTGAGTCCTCATTCTACCCACCTCGGAAGGACGGAAGGCTGAGTCAACCTTGAGCCTGGTGGGATTTGAACTGCCAAATTGCAGGCAGCCGGCAGGCAGCAGAAGTAGCTTGCAGTACTGCACTCTAACCACTGCGCCATCGAGGCTCTTAAGTACTGTGGGGCAGTATAGAAGTCTTAAGTGGTACTGCTATTTATCGTTTTAATGTTTTTAATTACTGTAAGCCACCTAGAATTATCCCCAAGAGAGGTGGGTGGCATATGAGTTGAATGATAAAATTAAAATAAATAAAATAAAAATTAATTAAATTACATTCAAATTAATAAAATATAAATTAAAATTAAAATAAATAAAAATTTAAAACAAAATAAAAATTAATAAAATTAAAATAAATAAAAATTAAATAAAATAAAAATAAAAATTTAAAACAAACCAAATGAAAATTAAATAAAATAAAAATTAAATAAAAACAAAAAAAAGTTAAATTAAAATAGCTACGGAGAAAGCCGCCGGAGGAGGAGGAGGAGGCGGGCTCGGAGGAGGCGCCCACTTACCGTCGTTGTCTCCGCTCACAGTGCTGGCAGCTTCATTGGAACCGCTGCTTTCTGCATCATCCAACTCTTCCCCTTCAGGGCCAGCGAGGGTCCGAGACCACTGGGCAGCCGCTTTCTGGAAGGACCAATCAGAGCTTGGAGAAATGGGGTCTGGGGAACCAGAGGGCAGGACCGTATGGCTAGAGGTGACCGGAAGGGCCTTCCATTCCCCACTATCCAGCTCCTGGGTAGCAAGTGCATTTCACTTTGAGTCAGTTGCAGGAGGTTAGCCAACATAAATAAAACATGACTGCGGAGTCCTCGGTGCTCCCTGAGCTTGGCTGTTTGTTTGTAGACTTTTCATTACCCAACTAGGCAACGGCGCTCGGTGAATGTGGGGTTTGCTTCCTGTTTATACAAGTACGGTGACTTGCCCTGACAGTGGGGGTGGGGTAGGTTTTTCTCCTGGATAATTTCTTGATTAGGGTATTGTTTTCTGGTTGATTGTTTGTCTGGTGTGAATCCCCGCTTATCTGGGTCTTGGTTGCTGAGTTCTAGTCTTAATTTTTGTTTGCTTCTCAGCTTTTTGTGGTCTTTTTTGAATGGTGTGTAAATATGGATTATCACTATGTACTTATTGATAGTTGATTCGTCTCGAATGTCAAAACTTTCAAGAATTCCCTAGCATTTTAGGATTTGGCTTAGTCTAGGACGCTCAGTTTTTCCGAGTTAGAACTACGGTTGACTCTGTCCATGTGTTGTGAGATTCAGGGGTTTCATTTATTCTTCTGTTAGCTTATGTTCATGGCTGGCTACGCTCTTCTACTCTTCTGCCTGCCTGTCCTACATGGTGGTAGTTCTAGTCCTTATCCTGTATGTTGTACATACAGTCATACGCTCTACGTACAGTCCTTATTCTTCAGGATCCAATCTGGATCAGTCACCGGGATCAGCGGTTTAAGTCTTCCAAGCTTTTGGACTCATGCTGAAGAATGAGTCTTTTATACTGTATATGCCAGGACTGTAACAGCCACCATGTCAGACAGAAGGCAGGCAAGGCAAGGGAGCTGTCGTAAGTGCAGCATGACACAATATTCCTGTTTAAGGTCAAATTTACTGATCTGCACCCAAAACTGGCTAATGACAAGTTCCAGATCCGAGACCTTATCACCTCTCAGGTGCTAAATTCATACAAAATTCATCAGTCGGTTACGCCTTCACCTAGTCTCTGGATTAAAGGAACAGAGAGCTGGCCTTACCTTGAGAGTAAATAGGCTGATCCGCCCAGGAAGTTTATAAAAAAGCCCATCACAGCTTCGTGAATTGGAGTGAAGCATTGCATTCAGGCAGGCCAGTGGGGATGTGCCACTGCAGGGGGAAGACAGGCATAATTCAATCAGTCAGTCAAGATATAAGTTGCTTTGGAACAACTGTGGCAAATTCTGACAATCCAACATATTATAAGCTGCCCAGAGTAATCTTCTGGTGAAAGAAAGAAAG